TTGCTTGGTATACTTGACGACTTCCGAATGGCTTCGAATAACGATGGTGAATTACCGAATTGAAACCCGAATTGAACAAAGACCAGATGAATAACTCAGAAATGAATAAATCGAGTCTCTATAACTTGACGGGGGAAATTACTTATGAAAATGGAAACATTGTGAATCTATGACCTCCGATAATTACTTGATATGAGTAATGTGTGTAATAACATAGTAAAGTTATGTTCAACCTTAACTATTTTATGTATGATGAAATAAGAATTGTTTTGCTGAAGTGTTATGTTCTGTACAATGATTGATTGTTCAATTTCTGATATGTATTTGTGACGTCCTTAGCATCATGTGATATGTGTTGGCTGTTACCCGATATCAGAGGTTCCATCATGGAACCTAATCTGTCTGCACTTTGTTACCCATACCAGAGGCTCCATTATGGGGCTCAGCGTATTTATTCTCTGTTACCCGGATCCAAAGGTTCCTTTATGGAACTGGTTACTCATAATCACCATGTGTCTGGATCTATTCTGTATCTGTTCTATTAGCGCTATTGGATGTACTACGTATGATTAAGCATGAACTCTGATTTCTGTATGTGATTTGAAAATGAATCTATTTCTGACTAAAGTTTGAATGTGCATAAGACTCTGTTTGATATGAACTCTAATCCCTGTATAGGATTTCTGATTCTGTTTCTGGTACGGAGTTAATGTCGAGATTGGGTCATGAATATGTTTATGAATATAGTTATGCTTCTGTTTTATAAAGAGTTGAAGTTATATTTTTTATGGACATCATTTCTTTTGATATAAGATAACTCGAGTTTAGAGGACCAAACTTCTTAAGGTGGGGAGACTGTAACAACCCCGAGCCGCAATTAGCTACTAATCCATAATTATTGATGCTAATGAGAGGATTAAAATAAATTATGTGTTTATTCTTTATTTTGCATGATTTTGGCTTTCTATCTGTCACTTGTAGAAATATCTGTCTGAATTTCTGCTTTCATAATAAAATTGAAAGCCTTATCAGCATTCGAAACCGAAATTGATTACATCAATGTGTTATTTGGAATTTTTAGAACCATATGGAAAATTTTATTAAAAATTGATTCAGAACGATTTAGGTTGTGTTTGGTTAGCCTAATGTTCCAATTAATGTATTTTAGCATCATAACTATATATTCAACACATTTAGCTCTTTTTCCCTCATTCCTTAAGTGTCAAAATCTGAGAATTCATTTTAGAGAGAGTGAGAGTGCAATCATAGAGAGAGAAATGTAGAGATTAAGGAGAAATTGAAGGCTATAGCTTGAATTGGTCAAAGATTGTGCAAATATCTAGCTATTGAAGACTTTAGGTAAGATTGTAACCTCTGGATTGTGCATCTAAGTTATTAGCATGAGATTTCATCAAGATCATGAGTTTAATTGCATAAAATAAGCTTTGAATGAAGATTTGAGTTATAATTCATACATGCATGCTTAGTTTAGTTTAATTTCATAATTTTGAACATGATTCATATCATCCATGTTTGAATTATCATGTTTTAAACCTTGATTTCATGTTTTGAAAAGGAATTTCTTACATGAATGGAGCTTATGAGCTCAATTTACAAGTTTCATGAGTTTTGGAGCAAAGAGATTGAAAAGTTTTGCATGGATTTCTATTCCTTTACAAATTGAGCATAGTTCCAAGAATTTTCTCATGCATGTTTGAAATTCATCTTAATTATGGGAAATCATCAAGTTTCAAGTTGTTTTGTGGTATTTGATTATGTTTTGAGAAGCTCAAGATCAAGAAAATCCATGCATGTTGTGTTCATGAACATTCTTAAAGTTTAAGTTGAAATTGTGAGCTTTTGGAAAACTCTTGGGCCATGATGTTATGAAATAATCCTTAATTCATCATGTTTTACAAGTTTGCTAGGTTATCTCAAGTTTTGGGGCCCAAGAGATGTGTTTTGAAGCTTGAAATTCGAGTTTTGAGCTTGGGGGTGCAATATGAAAATTTCAGAATTTGTATCTACGCTCGAGCGTGGGAGTTTACGTTCGAGCGACCACTCTTTGTGCGTGCACTTCCGCTCGAGCGACCTAAAGTCCGCTCGAGCGTGAATTGCAAGCTCCCAGAAGTTTCATATCTTTACAACCGCTAGAGCGAGGGAACCTGTGCTCAAGCGACCACCCTCATTTTGCATGTTCTCTCGAGCGAAGAAAGCTACGCTCAAACGGGGACCCTGTTTTCAAAATTTTGACTAAGTGTTTTCCAAAACATTTTAACATCCTCATTACATCTTAGGCATTCCTAAGCCTTAATTAAGCCATGGTAATGAGATTATGGATTAGAAACACACTAAGAAAAAGAATGTACTAAGTTAAGAGTTTATAAGAGTGCATTTTAAGCAATGTGATAAGAAAGAATATGAGCTATTGTAATGAAAGCTAAGCCTTAATGGCCACCTGAATGTGTAATGATAAGATATGTTTGTGTTATGTGCTTTTGTGTCTGTAGGTCAACGTTTGGAGATTGATTGACCGTTTGCGAGAACCACTGTGAGTAACATTTCTGTAAAGATATGATAATATGAACTATGTTTCAACTGTTATGTGAGAAGTTATAATTTCTAAAATATCATTTTAATTATGTGAATGAATGTCCTATTTGCAAATCTATTATGGCATCCATAGATAGTCCCAAGTCATGGGGGACGACATGTAAATGCGGGTCCATGACACATATGTGATACGAGATCTCGTTAGCCACTTCATTGTGGTGATATGTGTTTAATCGGTATCCGAAACCGATTACTCTAGTTGGAAGACGTTATGTGATGTGCTCTATGGGATGTACCATTATTATGTTTTGATACGAGAATGATTATGCTATGATCTGTTTTACGCTTATCATATGTTCGGATTTCGTTCACTAACCTCTTTACATTGATGTTATTCACTGGGTTTTAACTCACTGTATGTATATATATGTATAGGTGGGCATTCTGGATATCGAGCCTGAAAGCTTTTGTCTGGATCTGTGTTCTGTTGTCAGCAAACCATTGTGCCTCACGTGGAGGTTCCTGGAGTGTCTCAAGTGTTTAAGTTCTGTTATTTCTGTATATATAAGACTCGGTTGTTCTGTTGGCTGTACTTAAGATACTTTAATGTGTGTGGGTATAATGTATGAATGACTTTTGATTATGTATATAAAGTTTTTAAATATTCCGTTTCATATAAGTCAGCACAGCTCATTGAACAACTATATTTATGTATTAGCTTCCACTAGTCCCTTAATTTTGTTAATATGTTCAGAGGCCTTCGGTAATCCATGGATTACTGGCCGGTTACGATGCTAAACCTATAGGGGCGGGTTTGGGTCGTGACATCATTCCATGCTTCTGATTTTCAGCTTCTGCTGTAGACATGTTAATTTACGGTTATATTCTTAGATTTTTTTATTTTATATTTTTTTTAAATAGAAAAAGACCCAAATGGACTATAGATGATTATTTTTATTTTTAATGAGAAATGTAGACAAGTAGTGAATAACAAAAAATAAAAGTTAATTGAAAAAACTATTTCATAACTTATTTAACAAACACTATTCAGCAACTTAAATATATAATTTAACAGTTACACCAAACAGATTAACAGCTTCTAATTAAAGTCATAATCTATAATCTGTTAAGTTATAATCTATAATCTGTTTTAATAGCTAGACCAAACGGGGTCTTTTTTGTGCACATAATTTCTCAAAACACACATTTAATGAATTGAAAATCTCATTTTTCACTAAATACACAACTTATTATACCAAAAATATTCTTATTTCCTTTATTCTTCAAACTCTAATCCTAACCATAACTCCATTCTTCATTTGCCGTCGACCAACCAACCACTTCCCCCTCTGTCGAAAATTTAAGCTGCCACCGCGATTTCCATTCCTCCACCATCACCAACCACCATTACCAACCCATCACACACCATTCCAACTCATCTCATGGTATCAAACTATAGTTTGTTGGCTATGTATTGGATCCATTAAACATGGCAATTCGTGAGATTTATTAAATCATCCCCTTCAGATAAAAAGATTGATTAAATGAGTAAATTACAAAAGCCATAAACATTTCTCCTCCACGTAACTATTATTTGCATAAACAGCATACTTCAATTTATATTTCCTCAAATTGATAGAATAAAAATAGCCAATTATAAGTATTTCATGCCATTAATCTATACACTTAAATTCACTATAGAATGAAAAGAAATATTTTAAAGTTCAAATGACAGAGGAGGCTGCAGAGGTGACGAGGAGTATCGTCGAAGTTGAAATGAACAATGAGGATGATGGTGGCAATGATAGTAGTAGAATGAGAGGTTCGCCGAAGGTGGAAAGCATGATTAGGGTGGTCAAGAAAGAGGCCAACCAATTAGGATATCGGTTGAAAAGATGAGAATATTTTGATATTTTTATTTTAAGATAAAAATATAATATAAAAAAGATTTATTAAGTGTATAGAGTAAAGAAATTTGGTACATGTAAATGGAAGTTCTTAAAATTCTTAGACAGGTAGATGCTTGGGAAATTATTCACCCACCCTTATGTTGTATTTGGTCGGAGATTTAATGAGAGATTTGGAAAAAGAAATGAAAATAGTAAGTGAAATGTGAAAAAAATATATCTATATTTCATCTAATTTTATACACATTTTCTTTTTTCCTTTTTAAATCTCTCCCAATATCCTAAGACCAAATACAACATTAACGATGTATTTAATTGGAAATTTAAGCAGGCATTTAAAAAGAGAAATAAAACAAATAAATAAAATATATCTATATTTCACATAATTTTACACACATTTTGCCGACTCATTTTCAAAGCCTCTCCAAATCCCAACCAATCACAGCGTAAATCACCCTTAAATGCGCATCTCGTAAACCATTTTTTTTCTCTCTCTCTTTCGCTCTCTCAAAATTTTTGTACTGATCAATCTTCGAACAAATGGAAAATTTTGGAAAGAAGGTGTTGCTCACCTCCAATGGCGACGATGATTCTCTGAGCCTGTTTGGAAAGTTGATTTCAGGCTAAATTAGCCACTAAATGACAAGAGAGACTTATTTAGCCACTAAAGGATAAAAGCTTCACAGCTGCTTGGCAAGTTCCAACGCTAAGCTAAATTTACGAAACTACCCCTCATGAAAGAGGGGCATGCGGCAGCACACACAAAAAAATAAAATAAAAATTCCCAAAAAACACATTTTTCCAAAAAAAACAAAGAAAGTTGAAAAAAAAAATTAAACACATTTTTTTGTTTTTTGTTAAAATATTTTATAAAAATAAATTCAAACTCTATTTTATAAAAATAGTTTTAAATATTTTAATTTTTTTGTTATGTATTTGGTTATGATTTGAGTGTAGAGTTGTGAAAGTAGTATGAAGTTTCAAATTATGTGTTTGGTTATGAGTTTTAAAATAATTTATTACTTGAGTTTTATTTTATGTGTTTGGTTACGATTTGAGTTTAGAGTTGTTTTTAAATTTAAATTATTAACATTTTAAATTATTTAAATTTTTTGAATATTTAAATTATTTAAATTTTTTTGTTAAAATAATTTTTTGAATATTTAAATTATTTAAATTTTTACGATTTAAATTTTTTGAATATTTATTTTAATTTTTTACTTATTAAATTTTTTAGATTATTTAAATATTTATGATAAATTAAAATTAAAATTAAAATTAAAATTAAAATTAAATTAAATATTTAAAATTAAATTATTTAAAATACACAGGACAATAAAATAAATAAAAAAACGCATGAAAACCCCCGCCACGTAATTTAAAAAAAAATGAAAATAAATAAAAAAACTTAAACTTAAAAAAAACTTAAAATTAACAGTTGCCACGTAATTTACAAATAAATAAAACACATGAAAATCCATTTGTCAAATATAAAAACAAATTAATGTATACAAATAAAAAAAATTACAGAAACGTAAATTAAAAAAAAAGAACGACAAAAATACGCCTCCTTCAAAAAAAAAGGAAAAAAAAAATCAAAAAATCAGAAATTAGCATTTGTCACGTAATTTACAAATAAATAAAAAAAATAATGTGTACAAATAAAAAAATTGACAAAAACGTAAATTGAAAAAAAAATAAGGACAAAAATATGCCTCATTCAAAAACATTTAAAAAAAAAATAAAAACTTAAATTTACCATTCGCCACGTAATTTACAAATAAATATAACACATAAAAACTCATTTTTGAAAATTAAATTAAAATACACAGGATAATAAAATAAAACTAAAAATTAAAATTATTAGCATTATTATTATTTTAAAATTAAAATTTAAAATTAAAATTATTATTATTATTATTATTATTTTAAAATTATAATTAGTATTATTATTATTTTTAAAAAAATTTAAAATTAAAATAAAAAACACATGAAAAAATCATTTGCAAAAAAATAAAATAAAATAATTAATTAAAATATACAGGATAATAACATAAAACCAAAATAAATAAAAATAAATAAATAAAAAACATTTAAGCAAAATTTGTCAAATCCAAACCCAAAATAAAAAAAAATAAAAAAATAAAAACCAAAAAGGACATAATTTAACATGAAGACACCCGATCAAAAAGTCAAAAAGTTAAAAAAATTAAAAAATCATTTATAAATCAGATTTTTTAATTCCAAACTAAAATAACCACAAAAATCAAAAAGTCAAAAAAAACTAACCCACTTCTGAACATTTCTCACCATCTAGCAAAACGTGGTTGCAGGTCTCATCTCTGCGTGTGTGTATATACATGTATACTCTGTAATCTGCAGTGTATGATATCTCTCTCTCTCCTTCTCTTTATCTCTCTATGAGTATCTGTGAAATTACATACATGGACATGTATAGGTGTATGTAATACTTCTGTCTCATTCTCTCTCTCTCTACGATTAGGTTGGTTCTGATGGGAAACGAGTACAGTCTCAGGAGTGCTGCCGAGAAGACAATGGGCTCTTTGAACGGTGTCGTTGGGATCGAATTTGTTAATTTGGATGCGGAGGAGGAGAGAGAGGCGGTTTTCGATGAAGCCGTGAACAAGGCCTGCAAATTTCTGGGAAACTTGGATGCTTTTGTCCATTGTTATGCTTATGAAGGTAAAATTTCACTACTTTCCCTGACTGTTCCTTGGAATTCATTAAAATCTTAAATTAAAGAGAGCACAATTATAAGTCAACCAAATATATATCTATACTATTATAAAGTGAACACCTCTTACAGTGTCCTGAAGCTTTGTTTCTTATGTTGCCATGTGTTCACTTTTTTATTTAAAATTAAAAAAAAAATAGATAGATGAGTGGTGGGGACTTGAACCTTAGACTTATATCAAATGAATAAGATTCTTACCACTTGACTAGCATAATATATAATAAATTTTTTATTTTATTTTTATTTATTTAAATAGCACACGCATCGCGTGTGACAACCGCTAGTATATATATATATATATATATGTATTGAAGGCATGGTAACATGAATTTTGGGGACGGTCACGAAGGATTCAAGCCAAATAATGTTGGAGTTGGACATGAAAATTTTAAACATACAAAATTTTTATGCAAAATGATCATCTGGAATATGTGCAATGACATTTATGCAATTATTATTAAATGAGCCACATCACTCTGTACGGTATTACCTTTTTGAAACGGTCAAATCCAAAATAGTACTAGAGAGAGATCTTCAATAGTATTTAAATTTATTTAAGTTTCCTTTTCCGTAAGGTTTAGTTTACTTAAAATGAAATAAGTAGAGAGTGAAAGTGGTGGAATGCATAAGAAATTTAATTTTCTAGTATAAGGCATATTAGCATTGTCACAAATTTTTTATTTCTTGCTAAAAACACAAGAAAATATAAGAAAAATTGAATGTGTAAGTTAACCACAACTAAATTTTTCTATATTTTCTTACAAAATTTTCATCTTAATCAAATGGTTGAAAGAAAAAATATTTTTTTTTCTATTTATTTTCTTTCACTTCATTTTCGTTTTTTGCCAAATTTTCTTTCTAATCAAATGGAGCCAGAGATTTTACAAGGAAAATCAAATAAAGTTGTGAAATAAACTTCTATGGAGACAAGTATTCCTCTGTTTCCTGTTATGTAACTTGATTTATACTTATTTGTTTCCTTGTCAAAAGTTTTATGCATGAATATCGAATTAAACTACTCTCTCTACTCGGTTGTGAGAGGGACAAACACTCCTACTCTTTTCTCCAAATTTTAATTGGACACTGATGAATTTTTGATTGTAGTTAACTAAATGAAACTTCACTTGTTTTCTTGGGCTTCTTTTAAAAATCTTCAGTCACTCAATAATTTGAAACTGTGAAGTATGGGCAATCCTATTGATGTCATGGGAATTAAAAGTAGGAGAAGGGCACTATGATGCAATAAGATACTTGAACTCTAACCTCGAGAAATACGCAATATGCCATCCATATGGTTTTGAAAGTGAGATTACAGCACCTTGCGAACCAACCAAGACATTTATGTTCGGCTAATTTGGTAATAATTTGTGTTGCGGATCGGGGGCACACCAGGGAACTCAAACAAGCAATAACACACAAGATTTAACGTGGTTCGGCAAGTCGCCTACGTCCACGGGCAGCGGATTCACTATATTGAACAAAATGGTAAGAATTACAACACTCTCTGTAATTCTCTCTCTTTGCTCTCTAAGCTCACACCTCTCTGTTATCTCAGCTATACCTCTCAACTCTCTTTAGCTTCTCTATATATAGAGATTACAAATCCAAGAGAGAGTCTTTGAAATGAGCTGGCTGCCAGCCCATTGTTGTGCTTTCGGTGGCTTTCCAGATTGATATTTCTCAGGGCTTCTCATGGCCTCATGGCCAACTCACATGGCCTCATGGCCAATTTGGTCTGAGGGAGATTATTGGTTGTTAAACCTGTCAACTTTACGCAGATATATTTTCTGAAATCTATAGCATGGATATGGATAGATTTTCTAAAATCTATAGCATGGATATGGGCATACAAAACTTCAACTTTTTGACATGCATACAAGACTTCAAACAATTTCTAAAATCTATAGCATGGATATGGGCGCGCGCGCATACGTCTTCACAATGCACGATGATTAGTGTTTATATGCATTACTGTGGGTATATATGGGAGAATAATGTTGTCTTCTCTTTCATTTTAAACTCTATGAAAGAACAAATACAATGACTTGGACAATTTTTATAAAACTTCTTGATGTTTGTTAGCTTTCTTATTGAGGTATGGTATAGATGGGAGTAAGCAGATCTTTTGCTGTTGATTATTTGAAACAGGAAAGATGCAGGACCCTTTGCAGTTGGCCGAAGATGAGTTCAGAAAGATAGTCAAAATAAATTTCATGGCTGCATGGTATTTATTAAAGGCTGTAGACAGAAGAATGCGAGATCACAAATCAGGAGGATCCGCTGTATTTTTGACCTCAATAATTGGTGCCAAGAGAGGCTTATATCCAGGATCTGCTGCATATGGTTCATGTTTGGCAGGGTTGCAGCAATTAGTTAGGGTAAGTTAACTTCAATTTACATACTTTACCAGGTATTGGATTTTCTATCTTTGCTAGAACTTTGTGCTCACCTACAAATTGCACAAGGGAGGCCCTTAACTAACATGAATATTTTGGGAATACCTTGAAGTTTTGGGATTTGTACGCTAACAGAGAGGACTTCAGTTTGGTAAAAACATGATCATTTTTTGGTGCCATGCTTGGTGTGTGTATGACTTAACTTAGCTGCTACATTGTTTCAGCTCTGAATATGTTCTACTAGCAGTTTTGTTGGATCAGGAAAACTGAGTAGAAAGCATTCACTTATAATTTGTCTCACCATAATGTGAGAGTCCTCATCTTTTTTGTTGGAAATTAGATGAGTCTGACATTTTGGAAACATATCGACTTGATACCAGAGTCGATTACAGGTTCCACTTGCAAACCGTCACAGCAACTTGTTATTATATATGTCCATTTTTATTTTTTTATTTTATATAGAGTTAAAAACTGTTTGGACAATAGATGATGATGTGATGAATATTATCAGACATCAGCAATGGAGATTGGGAAATACCAAATAAGGGTGAATGGGATAGCTCGTGGGTTACACCTAGATGATGAGTTTCCGTTATCAGTGGGGAAGGAGAGGGCGGAGAAGTTGGTGAAGGAAGTAGCCCCACTGGGCAGATGGCTTGACGTTAAGAATGACCTGGCTTCTACTGTCATCTACTTGATAAGCGATGGGTCTCGCTACATGACTGGATCCACCATATTTGTTGATGGGGCCCAGTCAATAGTAAGGCCTCGGATGCGATCTTTTATGTAAGAGAAGTAATTCTATGCCCAAGTGTACGGCCAGATGTTACGATTTCGTGATTAATAAATGAGGTGGGGTTTATAATTTTGTATTGGGTGATAGAGGTAATAACATGGTATATAATAACGTATTGTGATTGGTCAGTAACACGAGTCACTTGGTGTTGCAAAGGCATTGGATAATTCTCCTATATCTTAATAGTTTTATTGTTCTGTTTCATGTGAAAAAAAGAAATGGTGAGGTGACATGGCATGTAGATGAAGTTGTTGGGATAAGATCTTGCTGACGTTGAGCACTAGTCTGTTCATTTGTGTACAAAATTAAGTTGTAAAAATATCCTCAAATTTAAGGTTGGTTTTTTTTTTTTTTTTTTTTTAAATTTTTTTTTGTTTTTGTTTTAATGTGATTGGTGGCTAGGGATGGTGGGAGGAGGAAGAGTGAATCAAGAATTATTTTGACAATTTTAGAAATTATTGTCAATTTTTAAAAAAAATAAAAATTACCAAAATGTTTTGAAGTGTAAAAAATAATAAACAAATATAGAAAACAAGAAACGAACAAAGGGAAAAGTCCTCCGTAGCCTGTCGTTGGTCTTTGAAAACGTTGAACGCATCTGACGAAAACATAAAAACAACAAAAAAAGTATCAAGAAAAAAAAAAACCAAAAATGTGGAAGGTAGGCACGCAGGCAGGGTGAGATTAGGGGAAAATATCAGCTTAAGGAAACTGTGGGCAGTGGGTTTTTGAAATTTTCAAACAAAACCAGAAACAATAAGCTAGGATCCGGACATGACATTTGTTTTATCCCAATTTACTTTTTACTTTTTACTTTGTCCGTGATAATTGTATTGATTTAATGGATTTATTATTAGGATTGATTTGGCCTCCGTTTGGGAATTGGGTTGGTTTTTTAATTTTTTAGTTTTTTTGACTATTTTAGCCTGGGCTGTTTGGGAAGGATTTTTTGATTTTTTAAATTTTTTGATTTTTTTTGTGAGAGAAGAATGTAATGATTATGGGTTGGATGTGATATTTTGTTTTTTGTGGCTAAAATACCCTATGTTGTCTTTTGTGGCTAAAATAGCCAAAAAAGTCTCGTTTAGCTCTTGCCAAACGGAGCCTTGGGAAGTTGATTAAAAATTATTTTTTTATTTTTTTATATGTAAAAAATATGAATAATAACTTAAAATAGATTAAGAATTAAAAATTAGCTTTTATTTGACTTTCCAAATGGTCTCTTATTACTTGTAATACGATATTAGTACATAAAATAATAAACAAAACAGAGAAAAGAAAAAATGGTTTGTCATAAAATTATTATAATAATTTTTTTTTATCATAATTTATTTTTCATGAGTCAATACTTTGGGGGTGTTTGACATGTTTGCTTGGATCACAATCATTTTATTTAAGTCATATTATTTCTTTTTACATCACTTTAAATCTAAACTATATTTCACATTTACATCACCTCTCTACCACTACATCACTTCAAATTTAATTCATATTTTATATTTTTTCATAAAAAATTTAAAAATATATTTATGTAAATCATTCGAAACACCCCTTCTATTGTTCTTTATTTGTTAAGTTTGTTTTACTCTTTATTATCAATATATAACAGTTGTAAAGTGCGTTCGGCTAGAATGTTATCTTCTCCATTGTATATCTGTAATCGGGATATTCTATTATATGTCATTTAATAGTGAGTATAATATGTATTTTTTATTTATTTATAATTTAAACTAATTATAAATTTGTATTTTCATTTCATAACTATTATTAGATATGTAATAGAAATTTTCCATTTCATACTCGTAAAGCCACTATAAATATCATTTATGAACAAAACTAGATTGATCTGATAATCATAATATTTTTATTTGGACGAATTACACTAACAGTCCCTATAGTTTGGGATTCGTGTTACTTTAGTCCCTAACTTTTCAATTGTGACACATTTGACCCTGAATTTTAAATCTTGTTCCAAATAAGGACAATTGAAGATATTCACCTTGCTTGGTTTCCAGTTTTCCAAAACACTTTTCAGAAAATTCTACTTTCTTATTTTCTTTTTGTTTTTACTGAATTTTTTTTAATATTTTAAGCAATTTTTTTACTTTTTAGACGCACCTAACACAAATACACCTAAAAAGTAAAAAAATTGTAAAAAAAAAACTTTTAAAAATTCACTAAATACCAAAAATATAAAAAAAAATACAAGAATCCAGTACATTTTTTATATTTTTATGTATTTATTAATTTTTTTAAATATTTTTTCACAATTTTTTACTTTTTAGATACATCTAAGTAAGGTGCATCTAAAAAAGTAAAAAATGTTTAAAATTTTAAAAATATTCACTAAAAACAAAAAAATACAAAAATAAAAAAGTCAATTTTCAAAAAACTTAATCTAGAAAACTCAAACCAAACACAGTGATTATTACTCAATTTCAAGGATAAAGTCGTCAATTTGATAAAATATAAACTAATTTGACAAAAATAAATGCCAAAAAATATTTTTAAAATTTTTAAAATTATTTCTACTGATCCAAACTAAAATTATATAAAATTGATAAATCTTTTACGTATTTATTTATTTTACCAAATTAATTTTTATTATGTGTTTGGAAGATGATCATGTAATGGATGGTTGTTAGGCTTTTAATGTGTAATCGATATATTTAATATATGAAATGTTTTTAACTTTGGATTTTTTGATTTAATGGATTGGTTTAATATTTAAATCAAAGTGTCGCCATATTTGACTTTCGAGAAAATAGAAACTAATTTAATGAAAATAAAAACAATCATCCATTACATGATTATCATCCAAATACATAATAAAAATTAATTTGGTAAAATAAATAAATGTGTAAAAGATTTATCAATTTTATATTTTATCTTTGGTGGTTAGAAATAATTTTTAAAAATTCAAAAATATTTTTTTAACATTTATTTTTGTCAAATTAATTTATATTTTGTCAAATTGACTATTTTGCCCTTGAAAATGAGCAATTGTATTTTCAATTGTCCTTATTTGAAACATGATTCAAAATTCAGGGTCAAATGTGTTACAATTGAAAAGTCAGGGACCAAAGTGACACGAATTCCAAACTATAGAGTCTGTTAGAATAATTTGCCCTTTTTATTTTAGGGCAAATTCCAAACACCCCCTTCGAGATTTGGTGAAAATACAGATTCTCCTGAGGTTTGAGAAATTACAAATTGCCCCCTGAAGGTCAAATTTGCATAACAAATTAGGGGGGAATCTGTATGAAAATAAAAACCTCAGGGGGCAATTTGTTATAGAAATATAAACCTCAGAGGGTGGGATGTAATTTCTCAAACCTCAGAGGAGAATCTGTATTTTCACCAAACCTCAAAGGGAGTGTTTATAATTTGCCCTTTATTTTATTACGTTTGTCTCTAAAAAAATAGACGACAAATAATCTACTAAATTTTATTACGTTAAAGATTTCAAAATCTGTATGAAAATAAAAACCTCAGGGGACAATTTGTTATAGAAATATAAACCTCAGAGGGCGGGATGTAATTTCTCAAACCTCAGAGGAGAATCTGTATTTTCACCAAACCTCAAAGGGAGTGTTTATAATTTGCCCTTTATTTTATTACGTTTGTCTCTAAAAAAATAGACGACAAATAATCTACTAAATTTTATTACGTTAAAGATTTCAAATAATCTACTAAATTTTTTACCAAATCTGGTGTGAGACCTATACACATGTGGGATTATGTGAGTCATAGTGAGAGGTTTGGTAAATTATTTGGGTCCACAACATTTCTCTAAAAAATATACTATCTATTTTTTTTTAAAAAAAAACATATATAATGAAATAAAAAAATTTATGATTATTAAATTGATCTAATTTTTTTTTACAAATAATATATATAATTTTTTATAAAATAAATCATTTAAATTACCAAAATCTATATCTATCTATCTATATATTATATAAGGAAAATGAGGTTTCTAACTCACAAGTCTTGTGGGAGATCCAATACCTCAATCTTAATTTCCTAATTTTTTGATTTCAAAAAAAAAAAAAACTTAGCGCTTATTGACTTCTCCCATACACACCATTTTCAACTTCTCCCATACTATTTAATTATTTTGGAAATAATAATTATCCTCCATTTTCAATTTCTCTCATACCTATTTAATTATTTTGAAAATAATAATTATCCCTTAATTTATGGATTTTAAATGGAAAGATAACAAAAATATTTCATAATCTCTCGATTGTAATTTCTCTCATCGATTTCCAAAAGAAAATATTAAAACTTGCTTTCATTTTTTCTCCCTAAAAAAATCAGATAATATTTTTCATGAGAATTGTGGTTATATATCTATATTTTATATATTATATTATAACATAACCAAAAAAAAAATTAAAAATTAAAAATCAGATATATAAATAAATAAAATTAATAAATATTATTTTTATTTATTCAGTTAAAATCTTTCTTTTGCCTCTCAATATCCAATTTTAAATTTTAAATTTTAAAAATCTTTAAAGTCTATTTAAACAAATCTAATTTGAAAATATTTCAGACCATCATACTTTAAATAAATAAAACTCACATGTCTATCACGTATCAAACTCACATCATAACTTACTTAAATAATAATAATTAAAAACAAATAGAAACCATTGATAAATTAAATTAAAAAAAATAGAAATCCACAACTCCATCTTAGATAAATTGGGAAAAAAAATTAATAGAAACCACACAAAAATAAATAAGATAAGAATTTATATATAGATATAAAAAAGATATGAAAATATCTGAATTTGAATTATGATTTAATAATATGATTATCTATTTTTTTTTTTATGTATATCTATCAATTTGTAATCAATTTTTTTTAAAATCAATTTTTAAGTCTTATTTAAAGAATAATCTGATTAGTCAACCCAACTCCTAAACTTCGCAAGCACTGGTAGAGAAGTTGACGGACTAGGCGGGGCGAGGTCTAAGTTGTTGGGAGGTAATATCCTACCGCTCTATAAATTTATTTGTTTTTTAATTTTATTTTTTTCCTGTATGATTCTCTTTTTCTGTTGTTAGTTTGG